GTCTGAGTGACAGCAAGGCTGCAGGACGAAGCTGTGAATTATCCCCCCCAATAACAAAGAGCTTCCGAATATACGATGTGAGTCCTCTTTCTTCTCCTAACCTGTTGCAGACTGAGAAGATGTGTCCCTACAGAAGGGTGAGCTGAGAAAATGAGGAAAGGGGGCTGGCTGGGGTGGGGGGACCAGAGGGACAGGAGTAGGTGGTTTTAACTCACCAGGATTCCCACCGTGACCTTCTCATCGGCCTACCACTGTCGCAGCTTAGAGAGGAATGAAACCCTACAAGTGTAAAAATGGTACTGAGAAAACTCACTCGGGGATCTTTCAAAAGAAGAAACTCCCCAGTATTCAGTTCTCTGAGATTCCTGGTGGCATTTTCCACCCCAGGACACCTCCATTCTGCCTCACTGCCCTGAGTCTCTGCTATGTGTGTGTCTGCTGCTTAAGGTGTTACAGGTCTGGTTTTTGCCTCTTGATGCCCTGAAGGCCCTTTCGTCTTTCCTGCCACTAATGGGTTAACTGATTTTCCCAAAAGTCATGGGTTCATTTCACTTTGTGAGAAATGTTTCCCCAACACTTCAGAGTTCTTCTGAATCTTTAACCCATTATATATATATATATATATATATATATATATATATATATATATATATATGTGTGTGTGTGTGTGTGTGTGTGTGTGTATACACATATAATCTCCAGAAAATCCAAATCCAATTGCTCATCTGGGTGAAAATGTCTCTGGGGAACTTCCTACATAGTGTGTAATCCATGCAGGTAGATAAAACATGAGTCCTGGTCACAAAAACCTTAGGGTTTAACTGGGACAGGTTCAAACAGAGAGACATTAGCAGTAAGTCACGTAGGGACAGAGACCCTTTGAGAGGATGCTGTGAGGGTCCTGAGGAAAGCTAACTCCATTCAGAGTCTGGAATGGTCTCCAGCAGAGATGATAAGTTATTGGAAGCCCAAGTCAGAGTCTTCGAAATGAATGGGAGTGAGGGAGAAGACAAGAGAGCAGCGGAGACTGAGGATGGGTAGGACACAAGCAGAAAGGACGTACAGTTCGGTCCTGTACTAAAAAGAGGATGGTGGCAGGTGACGGTGGTGATGAGGAAGAGGGTGGCGACAGGGATCGTCTAAAGGAAGTCCGCACGGTGAACTGGGGTAAACAGCAGAGCTGGAGGCTGTGAGAGACAAAAGGCTCACTCATTTTTCACTGCAGAGAGCGCCACACGAGGTCAGCTCTGGTCAGAGCTGATGGGGCTGTCTCTTTCTGAGGTCCTTTGTCAACAAGTCTTGGCTCTTCGTGGTGAACCCTTTGAAAGCGTCACTGCCCTGAAACGACATACAGACACTTAGACCTGATGTCAGTGTAGTTGACAAGACACAGAAAAGCCTGCCTTTCCCCTTGCTGAGTCTCAGCTTTCCCATCTGGGAAGACAGAGGCTTGATTCCTGAGATCCTGCTGGCCCCTGATGTCGGTCAGCTCCTCTGCCCTGCTTCCAGGATGGCTATCTCACTCCCTATCTGGTGTCATTCTGGTCGGTGCTGGAAGAAAAAAACACAGTCCTATTTCCTGCTGTGTGGGAGACAGGACGTGGTTTAACCCTCCCTGGGACCAAGTTCCTGTGGTGAGTCCAGCCTCCCACTCCCCAGCACACCCTCACCCCAGCAGATGCCTAGTGAGAAGGAGTGAGGATACTGTCAGCAGCCCAAAGCCATTAGCCACCAGTCTCAGTGACCGGCCATATTCCTGGCTCTGTGGAAACAATGGAATCAAGATGTGAATAGAGATAGTAATTACTAGGACTCCTCCACTGACAAAGAAACCAAGAAGTCCTGGGAAGTCCCCTGGTGAGGAGTCAAGGACATTCCCCCACTGGCCACACCTGGGCAGATCAAGAGGAGGCACTAGCTGCACAAGAGAAACGGGTACTGTCCAGAAAGAATTTGGGAGCCGCTGACAGTCCAGAAGGGCAAGGCAAGAAGAGAGAAACGAGACAAGGGTGACGTGGTCAGAAATTAGGAAAACCATGGAGATGATGCATACGAATTATTTTTCTAGGGACCATGACAAAAGGAAGGAAGGATTATTTTGGCTCACAGTTCTAGGGTCTGCCTGGTGAGGAGAGCATGGTGGCTAGCGTGTGACTCAAAGGCACTTCTTTGATACCATTCTTTTTATGGAGTCCAAGACCCCAACCCACAGAATGGTGCCACATGTAGGGTGGGTCTTCCCACAGCGCTTAGTCTCACCTAGAAAATGCCTCACAGACGCCACGCCCAGGGTTTGTTGCCACAGTAATGCTAAATCCTATCAAGTTAGCAAGATGAACCATCACAGGAAGAATCAAAGTGTTGGAAGGCAGGACACCTACCAGGGCATGCTGTCAATAAAGAACTCCAGCATGCCGGGCGGTGGTGGCGCATGCCTTTAATCCCAGCACTCGGGAGGCAGAGGCAGGTGGATCTCTGTGAGTTCGAGGCCAGCCTGGTCTACAAAGCGAGTTCCAGGAAAGGCGCAAAGCTACACAGAGAAACCCTGTCTCGAAAAAACCAAAAAAAAAAAAAAAAAAAAAAAAAAAGAACTCCAGCATTAGGACTGGGCAGGGACACCATGGAGGTATTACTAGGAAAGATTCTCATATTGGAAGATCCACTGGGCACCCACATGGCTGTGCCCTTAGTGGAAAGTCGGTGACGATCCTTTGATCTCTCTCTCTCTCTCGTCCCCCTCCTCCTGCCCCCCATGTGTCTCTCTGTCTCTTTCTGGCTTTTTGAACCAGATCTCACCATGTAACTGTAACTGGTTAGCCTAGAACTCCCCATGTACACCAGGCTGCCTCAAACTCAAATATACCTGCCTCTGCCTCCCATTTTCTTACAGAGGCAAGATGAGAGTCCCATGGCCCACCAGATCTTGCCTCTTGGCACCTGAGAAGGCTGGTTTCCACGCCCAGAACACTCTGGATATTATCTGTGGGGTGTGTGTGTGTGTGTGTGTGTGTGTGTGTGTGTGTGTGTGTGAGAGAGAGAGAGAGAGAGAGAGAGAGAGAGAGAGAGAGAGAGCATGAACATGTGGAAGCCAGAAGTCAACATCGGTGTCTTCCTCAATCATTCTTCCCAGAGTTTTTTGGAGACAGGGTCCCTCCCTGACACTTGCTTGCTAACTGAGCTAGACTGACAGGTCAGTGAGCTCCAGGAATCCTCCTGTCGCAGCATCCCCAGCACCAGCATGTGTGCCCTGCTATAACCAGCTTCCTCTATGAGTGCTGAGGCTCCAAACTCAGAGCCACAGGCTTGCACAGCCAGCACTTGACTGACCGAGTCCAACGAGTCACTTTTCATCTAACTTATTCCAGCCACATCGAGGCTTGGGGAGAAAAACAACAAACAAAAAACCTTGATCAATCATCCCTGTGGAGATGAGTGAAGAGTCAAAACCCCAGAGTGAATTGGCGTGGTTCTGGCTGGAACCAAGTCAGTGCTCTGGTTCTCCATGAGTGGTACCAGACTCCTGGCTAGGGGGAAGGCGTGGCTCTTTCCTCTGTCTCTCAATCGCAGAAGGCAAAAGTCAATGAAAGTTCATCTCATGCACGAGAGGCATGAATGAGAACTGCCTGCAACAGAATGCATTTTGTCTTACGGTGTGTCCATGGTAACTGGTTCCTTTGCAGGCACGTATGACCCGTCTGCCCCAGCAGGGCCCTTTCCGGCACCTTATGGACATGAAGGCGGAGAAGAGACTGGCAGGCTGGAAGGAACGCCGTAGCCGCTTTGGTGACATCAGCACGCATAAGTGCTACCAGTTTGGGCAGATCTTCTCTCCTTTCCAGGCTCTGGCCACCACGGTGAGTTTCAAATTAAGTCTTGCGGGGATGGGTGCTGAACCTCAGTTCTTTATCCTTTTCAGGAGTATATTAGTCAGTTGTGGCCCCAATAATGCTGAGTAACAAAGGACTAAAATTAAACTCTAAAACTCAGTATCTTAAAATGGCAGGACTCTACTGTCCTGATTCGTTATCTGCAGGAAAAAATATTCTCCTTCCACGTCTGCTCACTGCCAGCTCACAGAACAGGAGGGTGTAAAGAGTTGAGAATCATCCTCCCGTCTGCCACTACACATGGTCTCTTAGGTTGTATGAGACAACGACCTCTCAGAGAAGTCCAGGGGAAGATTATCAGGCAGTGGCTACAGCTTTGATGTTCAGAGATGAGATGATTTCAAGGGAAGAGGTAGACTGGGAATGGGGGACAATTGTCATACAATTCCTGCGGTCCGAAAACCTGAGTGTGCCACTGCACTACTTGGAAAGCCTGATTAAAATGTAGATTCCAGGGACTGAGGAGATGACTTAATGGGCTGTGCGAGCCTGAGGGCCTGAGTTCAAACTCCCAAGCATCTACATAAAAAGCTCAGCAAGGCCCCATTCATGCCTGTAATTCTAGAACTGTGGGCGGAGAGGGGCAGAAACTGGAGGGTCCCCGGGATGTAGTGGATGCTGGTCTAGCTACAGGTTCAGTGAGAGAGACCCTATCTCAGGAAAATAAGGTAGAGAATGACAGAGCAGTATATCATCCATCCTCTTCTGGCCTCCATATATGCACACACACACACACACACACACACACACACACACACACACACACACACGTCTAGATGCCAAGCTTTCAGGATTTCAATTATGCAGAGCATTCTGGGAAGGTAGGGAGGGGCTGTAATTGCCTTCCTAAATGATTCTGTATCCATTGCCTTTGTATATTATTGCTGAGTCGGCATATCCCAACCTTGCTTCTACCGAGGCACACATCAAAAGTTATACATCTTGGAAGGCACAGTGGGTAAATTTAGGCGCTAAGCAACCAGAACCCCAAGCATGGGAGAGACAGGATTTTAACTGCAACTGGTCAGAGCCCTCCTGCATATTCTGGAATCGACTGTTGTACATCTGTACTAATAATGCTGATCTGAACATCAGAATCAGCCAGGTAATTAGAAGCACTACCAACCAAGTCTTTCTCAGAACAGTTAAAGAAGCTTGGGGTTGGATCTCAGACATTACATCAGTGGGTCTTAAAGCTTCACAGATGAAGTGACCAACTCGTTCTGGTTTTCCCATGACCGGCGTTCACACTTGTCCCCACAGTTTCTAACTTTTAGCACGGTGAAGTGCCGAGCCTCAGAGAACCCCTAGGTCCCTGTTCTAAAAGCAAATATCTCAGCCCCTCGAGACCAGAGCAGACCAGATGGTCTGTCACTCAAACCACCAGTGACTCCCTTGAGAAGCTGAACTTGAAAACTGACTGCTCCAAACTTTCCAGAAACTAGCCAGATCCCCCTTCTGTCCACTGGCCAATATTCTTCAGACACCGTGCTTGTGCTGGACCAAAACCCCAACTCCGAGGGCCTTGCATGCTTCCAGGGACACACTGTCACGAACCAAAGTAATGCTGCCCATGCAATCGCATTAAGTGGTTAATGAGAATAGGCATAAACTGAATGCTCAGAAGGAGCTAAGAGTCATCCATGTCCGCACTGCTTTCTGCTAAAAACACACACACAGTCTTCCTGCAGAACAAGTCCCTAAAAGTGGATGCCTTCTCCATGGGAAGAGACTATCTCCTATGTCCTAGAAAGAACAGTGCTCACGTGTTCAGTTCTTACCACATGTTGTAGTAGTTGTAGTAGTGACTTTTCTGTTGCTGTGATAAAACACTCTGACCAAAAACACATAAGGAAGAAAGGGTTTATTTGGACTACAGCTCCAGAGTAATAGAGTCTGTGACAGAGTGATGTTTGCCACATGGTGGCATCAGGAAGCACAAACAGGAAGCAGAAAGAGAGAATAGGAAGTGGAGCAAGGCCATAAATTCTCAAAACCCACCCCCAGTGATGTATTTCCTCCCGCAAGGCTCTACCTCCTAAAGATTCCACAACCTCCCCAAACAGCACCACCAGGTGATGGGGATGAGTGATCAAATATATGAGTCGATGGGGGCCATTTATCACTCAAACAACACGTGTGTGTGTCACTGAAGACTGTGCGAACACCTAATTCTCAAGCACTCTGCCAAATGAGCATTACACTCACTCTCCACATAGTACATAAAACTAGAGAAACATATAGTTATTTGTCTGCAACTGTTAGTATTCCAGAGCAAAGCCAGGGCTTGAACCTGGGGAGGTTCAACAGGACGCTCCCGTTAACAGCTCCCTTTGGTGATGTCAACAGGTGCTCTAAACCCCCATGTTCCTTTTCACCGTGATTCTTCTCTGCCTCGTAGGAGATGCGAAGGCTGGTGTTGCCCCAAGACCTGCCCATGAGTTCTCGAATGCAGAGACTAAGTACTTCCTCCTTCAGTGACGTGAATCTCCAGGATTTACCCCTGTCTCCCACAGAGCTGGGCTTGGGAAAGGATGACAGCCATCATGAAAAAGAGAAATCAGTGAGCCACATTAAAACACCTTTATTCCCCCCAATATTTAAAGCAACAAAGTATAATGACATGAAATAAAATTGCAAAAAAAAATTACATTGTGGTTCCCTCATTGCAAGATGTTACAGGAAAACAAGTAATATCCGGGGATCCAAGGCTGTTGAGCCAGCCTCGCAGATAACAGTGTTTGGACAGTCTAAGAAATGGCCATATCATGTCCTGTGTGGATGCTCTGGGGAGGGCTGAACCATTAGGAAGTGTGAAAGGCACAGCCAGACCCAGCTCCTCAATAACACTTTCCTCAGAAGCCTGAAAAGTTAGAGGAGAAGAAGGCTGCCATTCCGTGCATCAGACATCCTATTCTTTCCACCATTACTCATTGGCTAGCCCCAGGAAACTAGATGGTATCTCAGGTTTAGTTCCTCAATATGGCTAATCATAGAGTGTATCAAATACTGTACTTAAGCTGTGTGTGTGTGTGTGTGTGTGTGTGTGTGTGTGAGAGAGAGAGAGAGAGAGAGAGAGAGAGAGAGAGAGAGAGAGAGAGAGGAGGGAGGAGAGAAAATTCAGTCTCTGCCTCTCCTAGGTTCACAGAAAGTTCCTCCTTGGCTGGAATGGGGTAGCTCTTCTCTACCCTAACTACAAAGGAAGCTAATGAAGACCATATTGGGAATGTACTGGGAGACAAGAGCTAGTATCAGGAAAAGATACATGGCTGATGGGAAAGCAATTAAGATCTGGGACATTTGGTGGTTTATAAGCCAGACCACTACAAGGAGAAATATTTATTTAAGCTGAATAAAAAACAGGCCGTTTTATAATTTATAAACGCCAATACTAACACCGCTCTCCAAAATGAATTTTTCCACCCTAAATAGGTTCCATTTTCTTTGGATGCTTAAAAGTAATATATGGTCATAATAAAAACTGTTCAAAAGTATTTTTAAAGATAATTACCACAGATCTCAGTGTTTGGAGACAATAAGTGCTTGCATCTAGAACTTTCAGATCATCTGTCAATGTCTTACTCTCATTGACAAGGCTGAGGCTGTGCTTGAGCCAAGGTCTGTTTTTCATGGTTTGTATTAAGTTATCTTATGGCATCACTGTCCAACATCTCTCAAAGGATCACCTTGTTCCGCATCACCAGTTTCACTTCCAGGTCATCAGTAAAACTACTAGACCATACAGGCACACAACAAATCTCTTACCTCAAAGAAAATTAGAAATAGTTTATTCTAGAACCCAAAATGAGTAACTGTAGCCAAGAAACACAGATTCGGGTTACCCCAATTTCCATACTCCAATCAATAACAATTTTATGAAGTTTTTAGAGTAACAAAACAAAGAAAATCATAAATTAAGACTCTTTCAAATACCTTTGTGGGGATATCATGTAGGCAGCTTAAAGCATGATGAGGAGATTGTAGCATGAATCTTAAAGGATCTTATTAATGAAAACAAACCTGGAGCCAGGTATTGGGGTCAACACTGGAAGATCAGAGAAGCAGAACAAGCCACAGCTTCCTCACCTTGCAATTCCTCAGCTGATCCTGTTTCCTCAGACTGGAAGCTCCTGAATCCTCATCCAGAATGGATCTCAGATGAACTGCTTCTCAAAAGCCTAAAAGCTTAACCAGCTCTAGTTCCTGGTCTTAACGCCTTATATACTTTTCTGCTTTCTGCCATCACTTCCTGGGATTAAGGGCGTGAGTCACTATGCCTGCCTGTTTCCAGTGTGGCTTTAAACTCACAGAGATCCAGATGGATCTCTGCCTCCCAAGTGATAGGATTAAAGGCATGTGTGCCACCATTTTCTGGCCTCTATATCTAGCGACTTTTCTGTTCTCTGACCCTGGATAAGTTTATTAGGGTGCACAATATTTTGGGGAACACACTATCACCACAGGAGATCTCTGCTATAGGCTTCAGATGCCATCTCACAACATTCTCAGCCCCTTGGTTGGGGGAAGCTTTTGGTCTGTTATTACATTCCAACAAGTTTAGTTTGCTAGTCACGGAGATGCTAGGTCAGAGAGGTGGGCAAAGAATTGCTATTAAGGGGCTAAAGATAGCCCAAGATAAATTATATTTATGCTGTAGGCCTGTAGCATCCCAACCTCTGCACATCAGTAAAGTTCTAATCAGCTAATGAGCCTTGCAGAAGTTTCTATGGAATGTGCATTTCTTGAAAGGGCCTCAGAGTAGGCACAGAACACACACAGACACCAAATTCTCAGCACAAAGGAGATTTATTACCCAGGAGGGATAGGGTTGGGGATGCCTCGGGATTAGACAAAGACAGAAGCTGGTGTTTCTGTAGGAATGAGATTTTAAGGAGAAAAGCAGAAGTCTGTTAGTATGAGTTGGTAAGTCCTGATAAGACAGGGTAGCCAGTGTAGCCAAATAATGAATTTTGATTGCTGGACCTTGGTGTTTTGACAGTCAACCTGGAGTTTTAATCAGTCATAGGGAGTGGCCAAATAAGGGAATAGACCTTAATGGCTAGCTTTAGGAATGTAATCTAACGGTTTAGCAAGGGAGAGGGAAGGGGGAGGGCAAGACATTCCAGTGCCATGTTTGTAATGCTCGGACCTGTCAGAGAACCCTTTAGTTCTTTCCAGGAACTTTTCCTAGCAATTATCAGGTCCATTTCTGATTGCCAAGTCACTTCTGGGTCCTGAAGACCATTTCCAGGTCCCCTCCCAATGATGGAAGTTACAGAAGCCACAAGCCCCCATTTGCATCTCATCACTGAATCAAGGAAAGTAGTCCATCCTGGGCCTCATTCAAACTTTTGAATATATTAACTCTATCACCACAGAAGAAGAAGAAGAAGAAGAAGAAGAAGAAGAAGAAGAAGAAGAAGAAGAAGAGAAGAAGAAGAAAGGAGAAGGAGAAAAGAAGGAGGAGAAAGGAGAAGGAAAAGGAAGAGGAGGAGGAGGGGAGGAGGAGGAGAGAAGGAGAAGAAAAAAAGAAAAGGAGAAGAAAATAAAAGAAGAGAAGATGATGATGGTGATGATGATGATGATGATGATGATGATGATGATGAGGAGGAGGAGGAGGAGGAGGAGAAGAAGAAGAAGAAGAAGAAGAAGAAGAAGAAGAAGAAGAAGAAGAAGAAGAAGAAGAAGAAGGGAGGGAAAAACACACCACCAAACTATTCCTCTCTCTTTCTTTAACCTTTTCCAGAGATTCATGGATACTTATATCTGTAAAACACACACACACACACACACACACACACACACACACACACACACACACACACGAGACCACTATGATGTTGGTTTGTTGGTTTCTGGATTACATGTGATGGAAGACACCACAGTTGCCCTCCTTTTTGACACATACACCCTCCAATGAAATAAACAGCTCCTTTGAAGCTCTGTGGGTTCATTGTCTTCTTGATTTTCTTCTCACAAGCGTCATCAACCAGCACATATTTTTGTGTATTTCTCATCCCTCTTGGCCCAAGGGTTTACAAATAGGAATTCATAACTCTTTTTAAAATAAAGTTTTACAGACCACAGACCTGCCAATTTGTTAACACGTTGTCTATTGATGTGATAGAGCTCCTCCTCACAGTTAACTAGTTGCCAGGAGGATGCCACAGCCGTAGCCAAAATTATTGACTATCTTACCCTTTATAGAAAAGCTTGCCACACTGTCTTAAGCCAAATTCCTCTCTACAGTTTCCTTATCTCTTAGCTCTGAATTTTTAAATTAGAATTTAAAAGTCAATTTAATTAATTTTTGTCTCTCTAAGTCTAAAGTCCATGAATATGTCCGTCTAAACTTCCTATTTACAAGTATGAATTCAAGTACCACCAATACCAACATTAGCTGAGTAACTTCCCTTATACTTAAGTATATTGATTCACTTAATTTTGTAACCATGTTATGAACTAAGGAGTAATATTATTCTCATTTTACAGAGGAGAAAACGAAGGTACAGCAACATAAATGCACACAGCTAGTGAGTACTAGACCCAGCTGCTGACCCTAGGGTGTTCTGTATGGCAAATGTGTTGCTCTGATTGGTCAATAAATAAATCACTGATTGGCCAGTGGCTAGGCAGGAAGTATAGGTGGGACTAACAGAGGGGAGAAAAGAAAGAACAGGAAGGCGGTCAGAGACACTGCCAGCCGCCATGATGAGAAACAGCATGTGAAGATGCCGGTAAGCCATGAGCTACGTGGCAAGGTATAGATTAATGGAAATGGATTAATTTAAGATATAAGAACAGTTAGCAAGAAGCCTGCCACGGCCATACAGTTTGTAACCAATATAAATCTCTGTGTTTACTTGGTTGGGTCTGAGCGGCTGTGGGACTGGCAGGTGAGAGAGATTTGTCCTGACTGTGGGTCAGGCAGGAAAACTCTAGCTACACTAGGGGATATGGCCTCAGCCCATGTACACTCAGCACTGTGCTGTCCTGCACGCCCTGTGGTGATATCTTTCCCTGATGTACCCTGCCCTTTGTGTTCCAAACCACTTCATCCTAACTGAGGCTGAGTGCTAACTAACTCTGTGTGCTCTCCTCTACCCGCTAAGAGATCACATTGTCAGCAAAGGAAGCCAAGAATTTATCAGGTCTTTTCCTAGAATGACCCACAGTGGACATCCGCCTACGGTGTCCCTGCCGTGGCCTTATTTACCTGCCTGCGGCAACTTAACATGGCCTCAGTAGAAAGAATCAATCCTGCACATTCAGTGTGAGACCTGACCGCCTGTGTGAAGGCTCCTAGCTCTCCTGTTGGCACAAACCACTCTTCTATCTTTTTACACTCCTGGGAGAAGAAAGATTTCCCACACATGGTTCTGTCCCACGTAGGAGTTGGGGATGGAGGAGTTAACCTCAGTGGGCCTCACCTGTGCGATTTCTTTTAACCAAAGTGTAGCCTTCCACCCGGAACTGGAGCTGACTTGAAGCTCCGTGCAATTCTAGTGGAATGAAACAAGAACTTGAGGGACACAGGATAGATTTCCAACACTTTGACCATATGCCCACGGCTGAAAAGAACTGTCTGTTTCCTTCACAATTGCCAATAAATCTATTTTATACACAGCTATG